GATTAGTGTCATTCCGCTTGTTTGTTTTCGCTTGATCTGATGCAGTATATTGGTCGGAAAAACGTTGTTCCCATTGACTATTTTTATCACAACAATGACACTACTTGTACGTCCCCTAATCTATGTAAGTCAAATTTATGAACCCCCAACGCGACAAAGATATATGAGCAAATCAACGGCCTACAAACTAAGGTGCAAGTCATAGGAAGTGGCATTATGGAACCGGATGTGCATAACATCTTTAATGGAAGAGACCGAAAGTGGTAGCTGACAATCTGACCCCAATTATATATACGATGCTCTACAAATTAACCTTATAAGAAAATCATCGTAGTTAATTGCTAACTCGGTAATATTTTAAGGAAATTTCCTCAAGCCTTTTTCAATACACATGATGCTTTCAAAAGGAAAGAAATAAGGAAGAGTTGGAGGAATAGGGGTCCATACTGAATCTAGCCAGTTGGCATTTCTAATAGCCTGTCTAATGTTTTAAAAAGCCTATTTAATTATTGTTCTGGTCGGTATTGTTACAGTTACCGATACTGATACATATCTTATCTATATGTTTTCTTTATCATACAATGGTAGGTAGGATAAGTTATTCACGTGTGCGCGCTGGAGGTATATCATAAACTATAGTGGACAAGTCAGGTTAACAAACTGTGTGTCAACACATATCGGGATTCCATCAGCATTACATTGAATTGACAAGGAATCCCGACTACGCTATTTAAGATAGACACGATCACAATAGAAGTTACACGGGGACGTCCATATCGACTCCGATAGTTGCCAATTACAAATCTACTAATCTACAGTACACGGCCTTATTGGGGACATTCTATACAGGTAGTGACCTATACTAATCACGCGTATTTTTATTTAGATTTCCGTGGATCTGATATCCGATATTTGGCACCACGTATAATCTCTGGATTACCACCAACTGTGCAAGGTAATTGCCGAATCGTTGTTTTAGATCCACGTACAAATGGAATTTTTCAGTGCTTAAAAGGAACCTTATACAACGCGTTGGCTAATATTGATAAGACAGTAATTTTATCGTTTTTACATATTGCATCGACTCTTTAAACATTTATATTATCCAGTTTTAATAATTTTGGGTCTGGTCCAATACACGATCTCTCATTACGTTACAGTATTTGCACAGACCTGAATAAAAAATATTCCTGTGAAGTCGGAATTTGTTTTATTTATTCAAGAATTTTCAAGGGTGGTTATTTAAATAAGGTCCATGATGACACCACACCGTGTTTATGTTGTTTATCTCTAGGTGTAGCATTCTTTCTTTGTTTGTAAGAATCTAATAATAAACCTGATATAAACGTGATGTGATACTATTTCCACATAATGCGACACCTTTTACCTTATTAACCTTAAATGTAACACCTTATTTACCATAAATATGGTACCTTATTCACCTTAAATGTAACACCTTATTTACCATAAATATGATACCTTATTCGCCTTAAATGTAACACCTTATTTACCATAAATATGATACCTTATTCACCTTAAATGTAACACATTATTTACCATATATATGATACCTTATTCGCCTTAAAGGTAACACATTATTTACCATAAATATGATACCTTATTCATCTTAAATGTAACACATTTTTCATCTTAAATTTGATACCTTATTTAACTAAAATGAGACACCTTATTCACCTCAAATGTTCTATATTATTCAGGTTAAATGTGACACTTTATTCACCATTAATATGACACTATATTTCTCAATAATGTGACACTTTATCTAAGTGTAATTTAATACTTTATTATACGTTCAGGTTAAATGTGTTTATGACGACACCCTACATAGGACAGTAGGATAGGATTATAGCGTCCTACCTGTGGTAAGGACCGGGTGTTGTACCGTACAGTTTATTTATGTTTATTACATTTTTTACGTCACCCTACATAGGACATTAGGATAGGATTATATCGTACTACCTGTGGTAAGGACAGGGTGTTGTACCGTACAGTTTATTTATGTTTATTACGTGACCCTACATAGGACAGTAGGTTTAGGTTATAGCGTCCTACCTGTGGTAAGGACCGGGTGTTGTACCGTACAGTTTATTAATGTTTACTACGTGACCCTATATAGGATAGAAGGTTTAGATTATAGCGTCCTACCTGTGGTAAGGACCGGGTGTTGTACCGTACAGTATATTTATGTTTATTGCGACACCCTACATAGGATAGAATGTTTAGATTATCGCGTCCTAATTGTGGTAAGGACCGGGTGTTGTACCGTACAGTTTATTTATGTTTGTTACGTGACCCTACATAGGATAGAAGGTTTAGATTATAGCGTCCTACTTGTGGTAAGGATCGGGTGTTGTACCGTACAGTATATTTATGTTTATTGCGACACCCTACATAGGATAGAAGGTTTAGATTATAGCGACCTACTTGTGGTAAGGACCGGGTGTTATACCGTACAGTATATTTATGTTTATTGCGACACCCTACATAGGATAGAAGGTTTAGATTATAGCGTCCTACTTGTGGTAAGGACCGGGTGTTGTACCGTACAGTATATTTATGTTTATTGCGACACCCTACATAGGATAGAAGGTTTAGATTATAGCGTCCTACTTGTGGTAAGGACCGGGTGTTGTACCGTACAGTTTATTTATGTTTATTACGACACCCTACATAGGACAGTAGGTTTACATTATAGCGTCCTACCTGTGGTAAGGACCGGGTGTTGTACCGTACAGTTTATTTATGTTTATTACGACGCCCTACATAGGACAGTAGGTTTAGATTATAGCGACCTACTTGCGGTAAGGACCGGGTGTTGTACCGTACAGTTTATTTATGTTTATTGCGACACCATACATAGGACAGTATGTATAGAATATAGCGTCTTACATGTGGTAAGGATAGAAGGTTGAAGCCTGCTGTAGACTTTTCATTCTACATACATCCCAGTCTGCAACATGGCATAATTTCTTGGACCAGACTAAATATTGCTCTATTGAACTGAATATGGCAACCCTAGTACAGGCTATGACATAAATCATAAGATCTAATGTAATACACTAGAGACTATGACATCCTACCTCAGACCTAATGTAATACACTATAGACTATGACATCCTACCTCAGACCTAATGTAATACACTAGAGACTATGACATCCTACCCCAGACCTAATGTAATACACTATAGACTATGACATCCTACATCAGACCTAATGTAATACCACCATAGACTATGACATCCTATCTTAGACCTAATGTAATTCACTATTGACTATGACATCCTACCTTAGACCTAATGTAATACACTATAGACTATGACATCCTTCCTCAGACCTAATGTAATACACTATAGACTATGACATCCTACCTCAGACCTAATGTAATACCACCATAGACTATGACATCCTATCTTAGACCTAATGTAATACACTATTGACTATGACATCCTACCTTAGACCTAATGTAATACACTAGAGACTATGATGACATCCTACCTTAGACCTAATGTAATACACTAGAGACTATGATGACATCCTACCTTAGACCTAATGTAATACACTATAGACTATGACATCCTACCTTAGACCTAATGTCATACACTAGAGACTATGATGACATCCTACCTTAGACCTAATGTAATACACTATTGACTATGACATCCTACCTTAGACCTAATGTAATACACTAGAGACTATGATGACATCCTACCTCAGACCTAATGTAATACACTATAGACTATGACATCCTACCTCAGCCCTAATGTAATACACTATAGACTATGACACCCTACCTTAGACCTAATGTTATACACTATAGATTATGACATCCTACCTTCGACCTCAAAAACCGGATGTGGTGCCATGTCTCTCGATTTGGTAGAAAATAACCGGTTTCGGGAAATTTTCGGGAGCAAACCACCAATCTCCNGGGGGGGAGTAGGGAGTAGTTAGCCGAAATATGTTTGCATGTTGGATTTTAGGTCTAGAGCTTTTTATGGCAGGACTTGGGGGACACCGCCTAACCTCCACTCTCTCCCCCATCCGGCACTTTGTGTTCGTGTGAGGGTGTTACGGGATATCTTGCAGAATATTTTCACAAATTTTCTGTATACCTTCCCGAAATCCTGATTCCGCATCTGTATATTAATGCCTTCTTATCTAAACCCTTTAAAACGGTCATATTAATATGTTGAACAAATTCTGTATTAATGTGTTGTGTGAATGGGCAATTCCTTGACAAAACACGAATTTAAATTGTGGCTTTGTACCCAAAACCCCCGGACAAAAACCTCATGCCGTCTACCTCACACAGACTATTTACAACGGATAAATAAAGAGTCGGGCACATTGAAAGTTATCAATTGAATTTCATTTGTTATCAAAGTCGGACAACATTGTACAAGTGATTTGTCATATCTGCTATAAGCGAACTACGTCTTGGCGCTTATAATTATTACATTTGTATGTTGGGTGATGAACACGATCGCCATGCTAATTGGTCTTATTGTTAACGTAGAGAGTAACATAAGTACGAGATCGTGTGTATGTTGAACGCGATGGTTTCACGGATACTCTTACGGAAAGCGTTTCCTGTGCTTTCTTGATATGTCGCACGCAAATCTAAGAATATTTCGAAAGATTATTTAATTCCTCTTAAAACAGGATGCAAGCAAAATAATGTTTTCAAATGCTTAATATAATTATTTTCGTATAAACTTTAGCAGAGTACTTGATTATAAAAGGGCCGGGTTCACAATCTACGATAAAATCGGTTTAATGTTCCTTTTAAAGATTAATTTTCCCATCCATCAGAGCATTACAAGTTGATCACGAAAGTTTTCAATGATTTCTATGTGCACTTCAAAATAATAATTGAACTGAAGGAATATCACGTCTGTATTACTAGTGGGGGCGTATATAAGTAATATATTAGGACAACGCCTGCGGGCAGGTATAAAAAAATACAGGCACATTCTTACCTGTAATGTTACGAAGTCTTTCGGTTGCTTATGCTCCAAGCCGAACTTTCGGAGACGAAACTGTTCCCGGTTACAACACATGCTTAGTCCAGCATTGGATTTCTTACTACAACGTACACAGAACACGTGTTGTTCGTTTTAAATCCCACACACAAATCAGATTGAAGAATTTAAATTGATGCTTAACGTCCTTACAACGAAGCTTGCTCATGTACAACTAATGTGAAGTGAATAAGTTAAACGTATATACACATATACACACACGTATTTGATTTACGTTTAATGCACAGAGTGGGTCTTAGGTTAACGACAAGCCCCATTGGTTGGTATTGAAGGGCTGTGGAGACGATATTCAACCAATGCTACGAAATGTATAGTTAACATTCAAAATTACCTTGTTAATGGATTAAATTTCCTTAAAAGGCAACGTTAAACGAACACTCTGATTATGTTAATTCATAGTCATTAAAAAACAAATAAATCACAGTCGTTAGCATACCTACAAATTAGTGTTCAACATAGCATGAATCGATCAAGATTAGATCGGACTCAAACAGCGAAGGGAACTTTTTTAATGCGTACCTTTCGACTGGTTGCTGCATTTCTATTCACAAACGTACGGAGACAAGAGGAAACCTTTCGGAGACGTCCCGAGACTAGAGGATACAGGGGTTCGAAGGTCAGGCGTGCACGTGCTGGTTAGGGCACACATATGTCCTCCTTACGTGCAATATAACCAAGGGAAAAGTATAACGGCTGGAACAAGTCCGAATACTTTACGATGTACGTTTTGGTTTTATGTAAACAATATTACTGTGTTGTATATGTATCGCGTACTCGAAAATACATAAATGCAAGTTTCGAGTAGGCCTGTACGAAGGGTCGGTCAACCCTCATCTGTTTTAATAAATACACAAGTATATATTCAGCGAGATCTCGGTATGACACTCATAATGAATAGCATATGATAATATACATATAATGTGTGTATCTGTCATACACTTATACAGGTTAGTGACGTACAAGTAACTGTCTACTTCACACGTTAAAATGGTCATCTTGGTGCATCTAATCCTTAAATAGTTTAGATCGACCTTTTAAACACTTCACGTATGATTGAATTTGATAGGTTAAGTCGAACTTTAACATTTGTAATAAATACGGGTCTCTGACCGTCTGTAAGTGTATGATGACCGCTGAAATAAAAATGATCAATGAATGGTTCAGGTCGACCTTTAGCATTCCGGTCGTATATAAATGACTTACGTCAATAAGGATGTGTCAAACGGTTAAATTTGACCATCGTTTTTTTAATATCCCTCTAATAGTTAATATATCTGAACAAGTCGGAAAATAATACAATATAGCTAATACTTCCGTACAATATTGCGATACAAAACAAAAATGTCCGTTTCACATGCATATATCATACAGACGGTTATACCAATAACTCAGTATCTTAGAGACATTGAACACGTGCCTTCTGCCCGCGCCAGGCACGCGCATATTTTGCGCAAGAAACTATGTAATAAAAAGTAAGACAAGTGGTTATGTTCCCGACTCAGGAATGCTAGCGTCTCTTTTTATCACTGGCATCATTCATAGGTGGCTTCTTTAGGATTCTTGTGACGTCATGTTTTCCCAGGCTCATCAAATCAATGGATACGTCAGAACGGGCGTTAAATATAGAACATGTAAAGGTAGGCAATTTTTTGAATGTACTAGCGTCATTTCTTACTTACTTCAGGACTTAACAACAATAACATCTGAAACAGTATGCCAAGTTACACTGTAAGCATTGCAATACTCTGACGTATTTACATTTGTATTCAAATCGCATAATATGTTTTCCAAACATATATTACAGTGTATTTGCATTAAAATCCATATCATCTGAATCCCTGTGTTATTTACATAGAGACAAACCAATATTATATCCGTACAATACAATTATAGTATACACACAAAAAATAACTTTGAATACCACGAAATACTGCGGTTAAAATCCAAATCACAAGTTTTCTGAATGCAGTAGTATCGTTTGATTGCAAAAGTATATTTTGGAATACAACTCACATTTTTTTACTGTAAAATATTGAATACTGCAACACTTATGATACAAAGTGAAAAGTCTAACTGAAATATAACCTCACTCGTCTTATTGGCATATACGTCATCTTGGGAATATATTGGTAAAATTTTAAGTAAGCTTAAAAATTTAGAAGAAACCGGCGTTTTTACTTACATAAGAGATGTAATCGAATTGTTTTTGTTGGTATTGACAACGTTCGATGTCTATATTCAACACAAAATCAAAGTCTGGAACTTGAAAACATTTTTTTTCATTATGTATAATTTGCAATTCATCAGTCCAATATCGAAACGAGTGATCATATGTTTAGCCTACTACATTTTTTCATTACATCACATCACTTAATGATCTGATATCATGTTTCATTTTACATAACACAATCGATGCGGCCTTTAAGAGAAACAACAACTTGTATTTTAGTAGGATCGCAGTGAAAATGGCGGCCACTGCCAATTAAAAAATGAAATTAACAAGGAAAACGTCCCCGAAACAGCACTATTAGATCACACAGATCACCGTAACATGAAAACAATCAACATGTTTAACCACATGAGTGACCGTCAGTACAATCGTATGGCAAGATTCTGTTCGTCTCTGCGGCAAGTCTGTTATTCTAAGGCAGTGTGGACACTTCTTTTGGACAATCTCGTCAGTGATTCATTAAACATCAGGATTAATTCCAAATGATATTTGGTCATCAGCCGTGTAAATCAGTGACTGAGCTCGATCGTAACAAATAAAATGGGGTGACGTAAGTGTGACGTCAAAGCTACCGCCAAAATTTCGCGCCAGAATTTGAAATAACAAGTGTTATCACGTGGCTTAACAAAAAAAACTGATTTTGATCGTAAGTGAATTGGCAATGAATATAATGGTTAGATGCAAAAAACCTTTGAAGGAGAATTTAAGAAATGTTGATGTTTGAAAATATATTTTAGGTAGTCTTTATTATTTATGCGCATAAACGAACATGTTGTATGATGGTAAACGATTTCGTTGTGTATAAGAAGCAGGTCTTTCTTCAGAGTATTGAACTCGGAAAACCCTACAGAACACGCACGTTTGAGAGTCACGTGAAAAGGAATCGGATGCAATCCGCTTTTCGATTCGATTGACAATTATGTAGCTCATCAAAAACCAAAACTATGATCTTCAGGCCCTCGCAGAATTCAAATTAACTCGTTTCCTAAATGCCGACTATGCCGTATAAAACGGAAACTCGTTGGATGTTCTTCATTTCTGTATTTCATCCAATAAAACTCTTTTTGAAATTTCCTCAGAATTTTGACCGAAATACATTTTAGACACCTACGATCAGTTGATAATCGTTTTTAATATAGATTTTTAGCATTTTATGATAAATCAATCTATATTTCCCCTCAGAAGAGCGTTTGATGACGTCACCGATGACAACGTCACTATTTTGTCATGAATATTAATAACCAGAACAAGGTTTTTTCTCCACACGACAGAAAAGAACAGCTTCTCCTGTTACTCATTATCATAGAAATAAATCAAAACTTCGTGAAGCAAACATAGGAGATTTGAAACAAAGGTTACAACTGAAAATCTTGGTGGGGTTTACACAAATTTTCAAAATACCATTTATAAAAGAATACATTCTGTGTGTGTGTGTGCTTTACGGTCCCAGATGATCGTAGTTGATCCTTTTCAATATAACTTTAGCTTTGAATTTATTCATTAATTATTTTTTTTGAAAATATGCTCGATTGAAGTTTTTACAAGGCCTTTGAACATACGGGCACTGGATTTTGATCATCCGGGCACTGGGCTCTGACAATGACAGTTCCAGACATTGTTTTACCTATATATACTCTATAATGTGTATGTGCAGACGGTCCGCACTAACTGCATCGAAACAGTCGTATTGCAATTATTGTGTTAACGAAGAGACGGCATACTGACGATATGTGTACCGCGAGGGATAGAACACGTCAGGGATTTGTCACATGGTACATTAGCACACACATAACAACTAGGTACTGAGACCGTGTGTGTGTGCAATGTACGTGATACAAAATTCATGTCGAAAAATACCGGTATTCAAACATGTTTCTTCCTTCTGAAAGATGCATTGTCCTATACATAATCGACATTTTATAAAAAAAAACACACTTGATATTTAGTTATTTTAGATAAAGTGATTTGAGTTTAAAAAACACTTACCAATATATCTCTTCCACGTAATGCTCTACACATGTAGCGTCGTACCTGCGACCACACACCTATATATAGCACCTGGCCTGTCACACCTGACACTTATAAGTCACCCTCTGTCATCCGAACGTCCTTAACGTTGTCAGACCAAGATCTGTCTTCACGCCGATATGCCTACTTCATACTGTACATCTCCCTTCGTTACTCCCGTCTATACACAGCGGGGCTACCAATTCTAGCATTTGTCTCGGCAGAAACGTTATACAGGAAAGAACTTAACAGCATCACACGTGTAACAATGATTCATGCTAATAGTGACTTTGTGAATGAGAATATTACCGATATGAACAAAACACTCTCTTATCCTAAATGTCATTTATTTATTCATTTGTTTAAGGAACCAGTTTTGAGTAATTCATCAAAAACAGACCTACGTGTACAGCATTTTACAGATTATTTATGTGTATTATAATTATGTACAATCTCGTCTTGAACCTCATCATACGTGTCCTAGAGAAACGACTGAAAAAAGGGAGAAAATTAATACCAATACGTCGATGAACTAACACTGATCGAGTTCTTTCCCTTGATTTACTACTTTGGCGTGCAATTATTTTAGCAGTGTGGTCTGGGCTTATTTTTGATTAGCCTCATCAGTCTCGGCCATCACAATTTTAATGAATCACAGCTAATACGCATCTTTACAAAATTATTGCGTTTGTGCAAATGAAATCAATTCTAAGACATCCTGATTAAGATAAATGGTCAACTTGCATTGATAATGTATTCCACAGTTCGTTTATGTTATACATCTAAGTATGATCAACTTGCATTGATATCGTAATCCCCAGTTCGTCTATGTTATGGATATTGTAATCCCCAGTTCGTCTATGTTATAGATATTGTAATCCCCAGTTCCTCTATGTTATAGATATCGTAATCCCCAGTTCGTCTATGTTATAGATATTGTGATCCCCCAGTTCGTCTATGTTGTACACACATCTAAGTATGGTCAACTTGGAAACCGTTACCCCTCACATTGTCCATGTAAGACATGCAACGTAGAGTCAACTTAATATCGTAATCCTAATTTTGCTTATCTAACGCACCCAAAGGTAGTAAATTTAATAAAAAATGATTTGTCAACTTGATACCGTAACCCGAATTCGTCTGTATAATTCACCTTAAGTATTGTCAACTTGACATCGAAATCCTCAGTTCGTCTGTACAATACACTTAAAGTATTGTCAACTTGATACCATAATAAGGTTCGTCTGTATACTATATTTTGAGTATACTCAATTCGATGTGTAACGAATCCAAAGTATTGTCAACTTAATACCATAATAAGGTTCGTCTGTATACTATATTTTGAGTATACTCAACTCGATGTGTAACGAATCCAAAGTATTGTCAACTTTGACAACGTAATCCTGAAATGGCCTGTAATATATGTTTAAGTATTGACAACTTGATATGGTAATCCTCAGTTTCTCTGTATATAAACTGTACGTATTGTCATCTTAATATCGTAGTCATCAGATTGTCGGTTTAACATACCCAATGTACATTGTAGTAAGCTGGATATGACAACAGCGATGTTACCCTCTATTCGTGCGCAAAATGCATAGTCAGCTTGAAATCGTAACATTGGCACTCAGTTCGTATTTATTTTACACGTCATTGTTTCTTTTAGTTTTCGGACAATTTT